ATATATATATATATATACATACACATAGCTCGTAAAAATCTGTTTGAATGATACCTTGATTGCAGGAGTAAATTATTTCCAAAATTATTCGGAAACGTCTAAACGGGCTAGGCAGTTTGCTGAAATGATTCGAGGAGTCGAGTGTCTTGGTTTTTTCTTGATATATAAAGACATTGTTTTGTTTAACACTAAAAACAAAGATGTAACATATAGTTCCCTGCAGCAGTTAATAAAAATTCAAGCTGGTCACACATGACAACTTGTTTTGCTGAGAGGTTAAATACACCAGAAGGCAACAGTTATATTACAGTAGCTCCCTTTAAGTTATTTAAAGTAGCCAAAGTATTTTGTTTCATACAGAATACACATATATATGTATATATATATATCACATCTCATCCATTTCCTTCTTGTTCCAGTAGCCCAGTTTTTAGTTTATATATGTATATACAGTACAGGCCATACATGTGGACACACCCTCTCATTCAAAGAGTATACTTTGTTATTATCATCACTATGAAAATTGTAGATTCACACTGAAGGCATGAATTAACACATTTGGAATTATATACTTAACAAAAAGGTGTGAAACAAGTGAAAATATGTCTAATATTCTAGGTTCTTCAAATGCCAATATATGTATATATATATATATATATAGATATATATAAATAAACAAACATGCTGTACATAATTGTTTACAGAGACTTGAGTTTCTGTTATCCCATCTTAAGTAAACCAACTTTGAATGTAGTGCAGTGATTTTATGATAAATATGTAATGAATGTGTGGTTTCCGAGGTTCTGTTCCAGTCTGTACTTGCAGCTCCTGAAAACCACCACGCCGGCATGTGAGCAGCTACAGAAAGTACTGCTCAGGGACGACTCCTTCCCCTGCCACATTATGCATTTCAGACAGAATATGAGACCCAATCTGTGTTGGCTTGTCAGTCATCCAGCCTCTTGTTTTAGGATGCCCCCATTAAATGGTGGGCAGGAGATCAACAGCGGTGGGACTAAGCTCTGATGACAAGCTGCTGGAGAGGCTGCAGAGGAAGACGGAAGGAGTGGAGTTTGCATGGGGACTGTCTGAGCAGCAGACACATATGCACAAACCCACATCCACCTCCTCATAGACATGCACATCATAGCTGCCTGCAACCTGATACCACGGGTGAGATTTTATTGCTGCAATGGAAAGGGGTGTCTGATCTACTCTACCTAGGCTGTGATTAACATGAGATTATCATTAACTTTACTTAATGCTGATTTTATGTTTAGAGCTTGGAGTTACTTCTTTAATATTCATCCTTTTGCCAACAGGGGGAAACAAACACCTGTTTTTTTACATTCAACATACTACAGAAATGATCGATTGTTGTGTATGAACTTTTTTTTTTTGCCAACAGTCCCTTGAATGAGTATTTTAAGCAGAGGCCCTGATGGAAGATCAATCTCAAGCCCAGTTGACCTCTATTCATTTTGCCACCGACTCTGAGCAGCTTTCCCAGCAGCATGATGCTGAACACACCGTGTAGGAGATAGAGTTATGAGGGTGAGGCATATTTTTATTTTCCAACACAGAAAGTTCTACATGTGGGCCAATCTGATCAGGGCATCATCTAAATGCCTTTAGGTAATCTGAGAACTCTTTGAAAGGCCTATTTTCAGCAATTACTAACCTTCCTACCACTATTCTAAAAGCCAGATTTGTAAAGTGGTCGACAAAATATGTTCTGTCAACAGATTCTTCAATTTGAGCAATGATCTATTTGCAACTCTGCCAAAAGTGCTATGGGCCTTGCTTCTTTTCAGGCCTCTTAGGTAATGATATGGGTCAGCAACCTTTACAAAAAGCTGTTTGCCTGTCCGCCTTGAGCAAGAGTAGCATATACCAGGAAAAACGATAAATCAGTCTTTACTGTTTTTACTTTATTCTTTAGAGGGAAGGAATTGAAGAAAGGTTGCCACGTTCCTTGGTTTGAATCCCAGAAACTGCCATGCTGGGTCCCAGGACAAGAAGACCCATAGCCCCAGAATACCCCCATTCCACTGCTCCATGAGGATAGGCTACTTGCAAAAGACTGATTGCATTAGATTTACATAGGTGCAAAACAAAAATCATATTTTACAAGGAAAAAAGTTTGACATATGAGATCAAAGGAGTACTTAATTGATAAATAAATCGATAAGATAATTGTCAATTTCCACATAATTTTGTTTCAAGTCAATAAGAATCCCTGTGGAGATAGTGAATAGTCAGGGGGATATTTCACTCAAACAAACGCAATACCCCCACACAGGGGCGGATTTAGGGAATTTGGGACCCTAGGCAGAGACAGGCATGGGGCCCTCTAAATTGAGAAGACAACACATAAAACAGACGCGTTATACAGATATTTTTATAAAATAGACATATGTTATTTTTTCTACCTTAATTCCCTCTATACTTATTTCTTTTGTCCCTTTTTCTTATCATATTACTAATGTACTCAGCTGACTTTTCATGCTGTCTCAAAATGAATCAAAGAATTTCCAATCATTAAGCCCATTCTAACTTAGCTGATTGCTCCTTCCTGTGTTTCCAAAAAGGTTACAGCAAAATTAAATAACCCGGTCCTTCTTTTCACTGTAGACAAGCCATGATCTGCTTATCTGTTCTCCACTTTTCATATAAATTAAATTATAGATGCCTGAATCATGACAGTAGACAAGATAGAGGAGAGCAGGAGGAGGGGTTACCAATCTACTTGCTGAGCAGAGTTTGCTGCTTTTATATGTTGTCGTCAAAGTCTCCAGTAACAGAAAAAAGTCGCTAGATTTGGCACTTAGCGCTTTTTTGTAATAAAACGCGCTAAGTGCCAAGTGTCTGAAAAACTCGCTGAATATAGCGACAAAAGCGCTAAGTTGGCGACACTGCTCTTCCGTCATTTGTTTTCAAATGATTTGCTGCCGCTTGTTTGGACCTTTCTGCACATGTGCAGCAAATGGACTGATCCAATGTGGTGGATGATAAAGGGGGGCCCTATGAGATACACTTAATATTATAAGCATTCTGATGGGATTTTAACAAAATCATTTTGATCAAAAACATAATTAATGTGCACAAATAAGTAATAGCTGTAATAACCATACATGTAAAAGGAGTTTTATGGGGCCCCCGGGAATTTTATGGGGCCCCTAATAGTAAATCTGCCCCTGCCCCCACTTCTTCCAACATGTATCGCCGAGATAGCAGTTGCGTGTCCAAAAGCCTTTATAACGCAGATGTAACCATGTCAACCAAAGTTGAGATTTAACTCAGGTAAAGAGCTTCATGATTTCTTAGATATTACAAACTGTATTGCAGCACTAGTAAGGGGAGTGGCAGCCTAGTGGTGGGGGCATTGAGCTTGCATTCCTGAGGTTCTGAGTTGGAGCCCCACTCCCACAGACTCTGGGTCTCTGAGCAAGACCCTTAACCTCAGAACTGCTCCCTGTGTGCTGCACATTGGCAGCCCACTGCTCCCCAAATCAATAAAGTTGAATTATAAGTGTGATTTTGTATTTACTGTAGCAAAAAACCAGCATCACTGCAGCTTTGAGAACTACTAAACCCACAGAAACCTACAATTATGTACCAACCAGATTGGTAAATATGTTTACATGGTTTTTGTTATGCTTTGTATGGTAATGAGCACAGCTGTCTAATTAAACTTAACTGGAAAATTTGCTTTATGCTAATTTAGGCTGTACAGTTACCTTACTTATCAAGGAGAAACATGGCCGCTTCAGCGTCCCTTTATAAACCTTTCTCCTTCATAAGCTCCTTCCACCTGGAGAAGGTCTGTTTAATGTCTATCCTAATTTTTTTTTATGTCTCTGGCTTTGTTTTCATTTAAGTTCTCTTGGTGAAACTGTTTCTTGTTCTGCTGCTGAATATGCATGGTTCTGCATTGAGCTGCAGAAGTGTAGATTATCAGTCGTTGGGTTTGCGCAGGGGTCAGCAACGCGGGCCCTCAAGGACCACATGGGGTGCCCTCGGCAATATTCCAGTGGGCTAAGTTTGAAATTTTATTTTATTCTGTTGCTCTTCTGTTTTAATCATTTATACAGCATTACAAAATGATGATTTCTGAAATAAAATTAGAAATGAAAAGAAGCAATAAAAATATGTTTATAATGTACAGAGTTTAGGTAAAGGGTGACCCCTGGGTTAGCGTCTCCAAACGATATTCACCGCCATAAATCATGTTATTCAGTGCATTAGTACTAATTTATCCCTCGCCGGTCTGTACTTTCATATATCAAATGTCATGGCACTAAGCAAACAAGTGACCAGCTTTATGTATAAACTAATATGAAATTCTCTGCTTATGAAAATGTATCTGATTATTAGCAGAGGTAATACACCAATAATAACACCTGTGTCAATGCAGTCATGGATTTCAAGCACTAAAAAGACACAATGTCCTTTTAAAGAAAGATTTGTAAAGCTCTGCCTATAGTGTTGTTCTTTATTTATATATTATTTCTCTAAATTCCTTCTAAACTTTACATTGCTAAAAGGAATCCCAGTGGGCATCTTGTTCAGTGGTGGTGCTGATCTGTGGGCATTTTAAAGGCCTTTTTTATTTGGCTTTGCTCTTTGGAACCTGTAATGAAATTTAGTCTGTGCAGTTTATGAGCAACAAAACATACCTCACATGGGCCATATGTCAAAATAGTGTTATTATCTTCCAAGAATGTTAACCGCACTGGTCTGAGCCAGTAACCATCTCTGCCTGAAGGGCCTGTTTCTTCTGCAAGTGGAGCAATTTATGAGTGAGGTTAAGATGTCAGTCTTAGCCATGGTTATAGACAGCTCTGCTTGAACCATCGCTCACACGGACCCATAGATCCAGCGTCTGGCAGCCATTCCTGATGTAAGCCACCATGTACCCGACAACCTCCTCCATGTTTGCAGATATCCTAATGACACGTATGGCATGTCGTACGCAGGTGTCCCGGTGGCGGGAGATAAATTTGACAGCAAGGAGATGTCAGGCTGGCAACAGCTGTGGGCTACAGTTTCACCAGATGTCTGCCGTTGCTAACCTTCAGAGACATGAACTGGCCTCCAGCCCCACCCTCACCACCCCCTCTGGACCTACTTTACACACACAGTAAATATTTTCCCAGCACAAAATGTAGAGGAGGCGCGGAGCAGAATTTGTTTGTCACGGCTCAAACGGTCAGAGCCCTCAGGGCTGTGATTTATAAGACCCAGAGGAACATGGTGATGGCAGGAAGCCTGTGTTTTACTCCGTCACACAGCTGGAGTCATGACAGACTCTGTGCTCGCTACGGGCTAATAGTACTCATTGGATGATATGCTGGTGAAGATTCTTAGTCATTCAAAAAAAAAGACAATTAAAAACAATCCACTGGACTTTGTTTCCAAGTTTAAAGACGTTTCTCTTCTCATCCGGGAAGCTTTTTCAATTTAGATGTCAGGAATATTGAGTTTGAGGTTTTATACAGTAGTCCATCAAAACCTTGTTTTGGTTTTGAAAACATGCAAATTGAAACGGACGAAGGGGTCCACCCCCTTGGAATGGGGGTTCTTTGGCTTCTTTTGTTAGCCTACAAGTGTCTGAAAAGGGGGGTCTGTCTGATCATTGATAATCAGAGAGAAGGAATTCCCTCTGAAAAACCATTTTGGAGAGAAGATTTGTCCTTTGTTCCTGAGCCTGTTGGTGGCACTGTGACACCTTCCTGCTCTTCAGGTGTGCAGAGATGGAAAAAGTGCCACACATTTAACCAATATTAGGTCCAAAACATGCTTATGACTTAGTAGGAATTGGGTAGGTAATTAATCGTATTTATATTTTTTGTTTATTTGAAAATGTGAATTTTTTTCTTTTTCTTTAACCATTAATTTCTTTTATTTAGGAAAACTGATTCCATACCAATAAAACACATTTGATACTTTTTTTTTCTGAAATTTTAATGCTAGAATAAATTCTAAAAAAATGTATGCATTTTCGAAATAAAGTAATTTGGACACTTAGTAAATCCCGAGTTTCATTCGTCATTTCCTGCCAAAGTATCTATTTCTTACCTGCATGTGAAAGATCTGTCTGGAAAAGAGCAATTATATCAGTTCGGCTTTTCCGGACCTTCAAATGTTCTTGTCAGCCAGTTTTACTGTGGCTGTTTCAGACATATATCAGTAATTTCTGCCTGTGCAGAAATGCTTCACATGCTTCAGATGTTTCAGCCCAGTTATCCATCGGAAATTTATAGAACTTAGATATTCAAATTTCCTTTTGATCGGGATCATCTGCTAATTCATTTTTTTTATCTTTTTTTATGAAAGTTTTCTTTTTTTAATATTCTTAAAGTAAAAAAATAAATAAATAAATGTTGCTTCTGCATTAAGAAGGTCTTAGCCTGGAGTTTTCATGATCTTCCTGTGCATGCATTGGTTGTCTCACTCAAAGCTACAGCAGATAAGGACCGGTTCCCTGCAAGGAGGACCTGATAGAGACATTGGATGGATCGATTGTGAATTCAGATTTCTGAAGCTTCAAAGTTTGCAAAACAGATCATCAACACACCAAAAACAGTAAATTAAAAACAATCCACTGGACTTTGTTTCCAAGTTTGAAGATGTTTTGTTTCACATCCAGGAAGTTTAGTTTAGTATGTTTAGTACACTTCCTTTTATAACTTAAATTGAACAAATTTTAACTTCTCAAAAATGTTAAATTCAGTTCCATATTGAGTAGAATAAATGTGTCAATAACATATTTCCATCTCGCTCATGGTGCCACAAATAAAATGAAAATATGCTGCAAAGCATCCTGGGAAATAGCAGGAAGTCCACTACCATCTCCTGCTACAGACAGCATGCGAGTGTTCGAATCCTGCGTCTGTGTCCTCTGAAGGAAGCGGTCTACCTGGACTGGGTCGCTCAAAGGCCGTGCTGATGAGGAGGCTGGAAGAGTTTGACGATCGGTCTCCGCCAAGTGACGTCAATTGTTTACCTCGGGCGCGGTACACTACGCCTTTTCCACCTAAAATGGCGTCTTAGCAACAAATGTCACGTCACTGGCGGAGACCGATTTTCCTGAATCCGCCCCTGTTTTCAGGCTTATGTTAACTGTAATGACTTATCTTGGACAGGCTGCTATGTAAACGGGCCTTTAGTCCTTCATTTAGCTATGCTGCGGTTGTTTACACTACGCCTTTTCCACCTAAAATGGCGTCTTAGCAACAAATGTCACGTGACTGGCGAAGACCGATACATTCAAACAGGTCCAGACTTCTCTGGCTTTCACTGCCCCTCACTCAGCACATGCTCCGTCGCCTAGCAACCGTGAAAGAGTCACAAACCAGGCAAAGGATAGATGCCAAACTACTTACAGTAGTGCCATTTCTGTGTGCTAATTTCATGTTTGATGAGCTTCAGCACCAACAGCTTCATCAACAATATCAGATTTATTGTCCCCACACTGCACAGATATTGGATCCTGTGCTTAAATGTCAGCTAAACCAATTTGCAAAGAGATAGATAAAACCTTTAAATAGACCTAACATCACCCGCCAATTACCTGACTTAATAACCATTTCAATTAACTGTTTTTGGGCATGCTTTGGTGGCGCAGTGGTTAGTGTACATGACCCATGTAGAGAGGCCTTAGTCTTCGGTGTGGCTGACCCCGGTTTAAATCTGGCCTATGGTCCTTTGCTGCAAATCTCTCTTGCTTTTTTTCATTAATTTAAGACAACTCTTTTCACATAATTGTATTATATTGGGCGTTATGTCCAAGTTTCAGCACTGTTTGTCTCCATTTCCCCTTTTTCGGAGCAGCTGGCTTCCTTCAACCTGCAATAATTCATGGGATACTTTAGGTCACGAAGGATACACCCGGCCCTTCCTTCAAATTAGGTGAATATGACATAAAACAGTTACATAGCCCAAACAATGTACTATAAACCAATTTAATATTGACAGGATTAGTTGTTTTAACATTTCTTCTGTGATTTAAATGAAATTTAACCTGCTTATGTTCAGCCTGAAAAACATTTTACTTGGCAGGGATTTGACCATAAAACAAATGCATTAAGCAAGTAGCATAAATGTGCCTCAAAGGAAGGTGTTAGATTAAAAAAAACATACATTTTACAAATTAAAGTCTGATTCCTTATCAATCAAACTCTTTTAGCCTGCTTTAGTCTCATACCCACCACAACCCACAGATTTCTAATCTCTTACAATAATTATCTGAACCTGTGGCAGAAGAGTAGTTAATTTACACCCTCTTCTCCCTCTTTACAGTAAAGTGAAACTTATGCAACCATCTCCCTTCAAAGGTGATCTAATTATGGTATTTATTCTTTGTTAAATTGCAGCTACTTGTTGATGGCTTCTGATGTTTTTTAAGAACCATCAGAGATGTCAAAAGTATTAATGTTTATTAGTATAAATCGTACTGTTTCAAAACACGTTTGTAGAAGTTAGAGAATCAATTTAAGCTTTTTACTGAAACAAAAGTGTAAAAGTACCATTTTTAAAAATACTTTAAGTATAAAAGAAAAAGTAATGCAGAAAAAAATGTTAAGGACAGATGCTTTAAAGCAGGGGTCTTCAAATTTTTCCAGGCCAAGGACCCCTGAACTCATGGCGAGATGGAGCGGGGAACCCCTAATTATATACACTGTATGAATTGTGTTCTATCAAACTGGTCCTATAGTCACTCTATTACAGATGGAGTAATGTAACAAAAGTAATTCCTCCCTGGGAGTATTAAAGTATTTCTGATTCCTGGTTGATGGGACAGGTGTTGTTAATGAAATGGTGCCCAGATTGAAAGAGCTCCTGTGTGTCTCTGAATGTGTGCATTGATGACTGAAGGACATCTTCTGCCTCCATTTATCTGTTTACTACAGTCTGTTGAATTCATGTTAATGTGGATTTAAAGACATTTCAATTAGTGGAAAAAATTGCAGGGGGGAATATAAACTGACTAATCAACCAAAACTTTTGCGACCCCCATGCACTACCTCCGTGGACCGCCTAGGGGTCGCGGACCCCCTGTTGAAGACCTCCACTTTAAACCTTATGTTGGTTACTGCACTACCCTGTTAAAGGAACATTTTCTACAATTCTGGATGAAAACTTCCTTATAATCAATTGTCTTAGTTTTATAACTAATTGCAACAACGTCAAATTTAACTTTGCGTCTTCTTGAAAAACTATTTTGATATGTGGCGAACAACAAGTTGGTGCAGCACTGGGTCCAACCACAAAGAAATTAATTATCTGGATGAAACAAATTATTTTGATGGATTATATTTTTTTAAATACCAAAAGACCATAAGGAAAATGAGCTTAAATTAAACTAAACCAACGAGTCTATTTTTAAAATGTAAGTGGTAGAAGTAAAAAGTTGTTTGAAAAATAATTACTCCAGTAAAATTTCTACTTAAGAAGGTAACAAAATATTTGTACGTTGTTATTTGACAACTCTAGAGACCATCGGTGTACAAACTGCAGCTTGAGGAGAAAAAGTTTAGGCTTTGGTTTTAAAACAATATGCCAAACCCTAAATGCTTTACATAGCCTTATTCAAGTGATTATTAAAAAAAAAAAAGAAAGAAAGAAACAGAAAGAGTATGAGACAAGTGCAAACACACAAAGCCACCTGTTGAAAATCACAACAACAGTATTAGTGAATCAGCCAAAAAGACAGTGTTACTCTGGAGGAGCTGCAGTGATCTGTAGCTTTGAAGTGAAGGAATCTGCAACTTTTAGTTGCCTATTCCATGTGTTTGACCTTTTAGAAAGGAGAGGAAGAAAGCCACTACTCTTTTTCAGACTGAGTTTTGCAAATTTCATGTTATTTTCTCTTCACACGCTTGGCCCTCGTATTGACCAATACAATGTTTTTGTTAGTGTCCATGCAGATTAAATGAAATGAAATCTGTGCTCCTCACTCCAAAGGATTGCCCACCACCAGAAGTGAAAGATTGTGATTTATAAAATGCTTTTTGAAAAGAATGCAATTCATTAAACTGAATCTGAAAAACAGAATTTAGGAACAAAAGTAAAAACTGTAAAGGAATAATACATTTTGAAAATTTAATTTCAAAAGTATGAAATCTGTAGAAAAAATGAGAAATAAAATGCATAAAAAAATAGAATATGAAATAAATCAGAGAAAACAGCAAAGTTACTTTGTTACTTTGAAAACCTTTTTTGATTACAAAGCTTTTCAAAGTTCATTTCGAGATTGTATTTTTCCCCCCCAAATTTCTTTTTACAAAATGTGTTTGTTTTTTTTTCTCATTTTCATGTAAAAAAAAACATGTTCTTTGCTGGCAAGAGTAATGGAGGATTACAAATTACATTGACTTCACATAGCTGCTGCAAGTCCAAGTTTTCAAATTTATTAAAAAAAAAAGGGATTTGCAAAGTTTTCAGTCACCAAGTTAACAACTGTTAGCAATAGAGGCTCTTAATCTGCTTCCTTTACTTTCAAACATTGCTGTTAATTGTTGATTACAGAAGGGCTGAGTGTTTGTGTACGAAAAGGATTTTTATGCAGTCGTACACACAAGGAAGCCATATTGGATTTTGAGGATGAAGCTAGTGAGATAATGTTTTTAATATTGTTCAGTTTATGTTTTTATGAAATCACAGATTAAAAAACAAAAATGATGAAGTCAAAAATCTGTTTAGATCATAATGCCTAAATGATGACCTTCAATGTGCCGCACCTTTTAGGGGTGTTTCAGCTTGCATTCCTGAAACAAATGGCACAATTACTTTCTCAGTATGCAGTCAAGTCTTCCAGAGTCCTGTTAATGACCTGGTTATTTTTACTTGAGTGTATTGAAGCAGGGAGAATCTATTCTGACATCTAAAATTGAGGAATTCTGTTCTAGTTCATGGCACCTGGATTACTTTTAAAATGTCTGCCATCCATTTTAAAAATCATGCATAGTTTTTGTTTCACCTTATCAACATGCACATTCTATCAACCTTTAACTGAAAACAGTTTGATATATTGCAAGAAAATGAGCAACAATCTTTTTTTTAAATGAAGATTGTTAAGGGTTTTTTTAAGTTACAAAAGATAAAAGCACACTGCACTCGAAAAACGATCTAGAAATAAGTAAAAATGTCTTAAATTAAGTGTATTTAGCTTTAATCTGAGTAGGTTAAGGAGATAGTTTGCCAATGGAATGAATATTTTTACTCTTAAAATACGACAATTAGAAAATATGCACTTAAAATAAGACAATGCAGTTGTGTTTTCCTATTTTAAGTGTAAATTGTCTTGTTCCATTGGCAAAATGTCTCTTTTACCTCCTCAATCCAAGAACAAATGCACATATTTTAAGAAAAAATGACTTATCTAGATTTTTTTCTAGTGTGCAAAAATCAAATAAGTAAAGAATTTCTTAAATTAAGTGTACTTACCCTTAATTTGAGAAGGTAAATAGGATGCTTTGCCAATGGAATTAGTATTTTAACTCTTAAAATAAGATAATTCGATAATATGCTCTTGAAATAAGACAATGCAATTATTCTTTTTTATTTTTAATGTAAATTGTCTTGTTCCATTGGCAAAGTTCCACACACCTACTCAAATTAAGAAAAAAAATCACTTATTTTAAGAATAAAATTACTTATTTATACTTATATTTGTTGCAGTGCAGTGAGGCACTGTCAGCCCAATGAGTAAATGTATAAAAGTAGGTTCCTAGCAGTGCAGAGCGGGCTGATGGCAGTGATGTCAGAGTGCGGACAGAGTTTACATTCCTGCAGTCTTCAGCGAGCGATGAGAAGCAATGTGCCATCAACACGGCTGTCAGGTCACGCTGCGTACAGCTCTGATCCTGGCTCAGATGGACAGACACAGACACTCCTGGTCACTCCAGCAGGACTTGAACCGGGCTCAGAATGACTTCGGTAACATTTGTGTGCTTCCTGACATCGCTGAAATCTAGTCAACCGCTTTTAAAATTGTTTTGATAAGAGGGATAGCGTTGTGTTTAGAAAGGCCTCTCATGTTGATGGATGTGGGCTTTTTCTTCTGGAGCTGACTCGCTCTGACTAATGCTAAAGAAGAAGAAGGTGTGATGACACCTGTGTGTGTGTGTGTGTGTGTGTGTGAGTGTGTGGCAATATATGGCACTCCCTTCTCAGAATCACCTTACAGTAAATTTGGCACTCGGGCTATTTGTCAGAGCTCACCCTATCCATGATCTATTTCCCATCTTCCGTCGCTGCCTAAAAAAAAAGGAAAAAGATATGTCAGCAAAAAGCTATTTTGGATCATTTAACCTGATTTATTTTGCTCAAGCAAGCATTTGACCCAACCTTTACATCTGGTTAAGTGGTTCTCTCCGTCACTATATATAATAAATGATACCAGCTAATCGCTCTGGAACCTAGAGTTTGTTTTTTTAAATTTCTAAGCCTGTATGAATTAGCCTCATATTAAATTAGCACAAGTTTTCTATAAAGAAAAGGAAAAATTTCTGTACAAGTCTTAAAATGAAGTCTGCTTTTAAGACTTGTACTTGTTTTGACTGATGATTCCTTAAAAAGAGAGCTGCTTCTGTCATGATTTTATCAAGAGCTCGGACCCACATGCAGAGAAACCAATACAGAGAGACCAGGGCAAAAGTTTAACAGGTTTATTGAGAAGGTTGTGGAGATTTCAGTGTTCCTCTGAACACTGCTCAACCGTAACTGAAAGGTAAGGGGAAGACACTGCGATTAGTTCAGGTTCAGTGGGAAAATTGATTCTCGAACTTGAAAAGAAATGGTTTGCAGACTCACCTTTCTAGAAAAGTGGTTGACTCTTTGACTCCAGTCGGTGTGGGGTGTTCCAGTGTTTGTCTCATTCGGTGGAGGGTGGACAGGGTTTATCCAGAATGCGGCTGTTTGCAGGAGAACGGAGAAACTGACTGCCACTCAGATTTCCTGCTGTACTTGAACGGGTCATAGTGGAGATGAATCCCTTGCTCAGTGAGAAACTCAAACGATCCCTTGGAGGAAAGTGGATCCAAACCTCCAGTTTGAATCCCCAGCTCAGTTTGAGGCTCAGTTGATCCTTCCAGGGAGAGAAGGTCCGAAACGTCCAGTTTGCAGGAAGACTTCCTGCCGAGAGGCAAAGAGAAAAATAGCAAGATTAAAACTCAGGTTGACAAAAACTCAGCAACTGAGCTTGGCTAGAGTACCCTAAACTGGCAACACTCTGGCGTCGAGGTATAAGCAGTCAGCAGCTTAAGAGCACTCCGTTAATGAGGTAACCCTTTGCAGGTGTGTGAGGAGGTGAATCAGGACTAGGCGCCGCCTGGTGGAGGAAGGAAGACAAACACACAAAACACAAACCACACAGACAGGAGTCCTAACTTAGGACCTAGCTACAGACCAAAGCTCATTTATGATGACTGAATTGGTGCTTTTATATAATTATTCTGAAATGCTAGATATGCACCAATTTGAAATTTGCGCCTGACTTCGAGTCTGCCTGCCTTTAGTCCTTTTATCCGGTTTGAATGGCTAAAGCCAAATGTAGCTGATTTCTCTGGTTGATATAATATGGAATCAGTGTTGATAATGTTTGTATAATTTATGTATATTTCTTCCTTGCATAAACAGTATTCAGTAACTTTAAATTCATTGCTGTCATATTAACTGTTAGCATTGTTATAATATAACTAAACTTTATTAATCTCTGGAGAAATTTACCTCTGCATTTAACCTATCACCTTGGGGAGCAGTGAGCTGCTACTGTGAGGCAGTGTGGGGTTAAGGGTCTTGCTCAGAGACCCAGACAGGAAGCTGTGGGATCGAGCTTGGTACTTGCATCCTTGCCAGAGCACAAGCGCACTGCTCTTGCCACTAGGCCAACGCTCCCCCTGAGCTTGGCCAGTGTTACCAAAGCAGATAGTTGTGTATTGAATTTGGATCCTGCCCTTATCTCTGAGATCTCCAACAGGCTGCCAACATGTTCGAAACCCAGAGCGTAAAAGTTCAAGAAGATAAGACAGATCAAAAGTGATTTAGTCTGTTGAGCCTTCATGTTATCTGCTCACAGTCTCTCTTTGCAGATTGAATAAACCACAGACTTGTTTCAACCTGTTGTACAAATACACTTTGGTTGTTGATACGGGGAGCAATTAGATTATATTTGGTTTGTTTTTTTCATTTTTTTTTTTTTATTGTAAATAAACCCGTTGTAAAAGCAGACAAATTTTGTAAAATGCCAAAAAAATGTATGTAAAGCTCCAGAAACACAATAAAGTTTGAGCATCAATGGAGAGGGGTGAGGTCAGGATGAGGGAAAGTGAGAGTGAATTTGATAGGACTGAATAGTATTAATAAAATTTAACATTGCCCTAACTACTGGTTAAAACAATACTTACCTTAATATTGCTATTGGTCTGTATTCCCTTGCCCAAAACTTCAACTTCTGACTCATGGTATGAGATGGTTTTCTCTAGGGTCAAAATCAGTCGGTAAAGTCTGTATAGGTCTACCACTTTCATCATTGTTATGACAACAACAATGGAGAATATGAGCTTCCACAGCCAGGAAATGCTATCACCTCAGAGATGACATCAAGGCAGCTTCCTCCAAATCTAGAACACTAACAGAATCAGAACCAGAATCAGACATACTTTAATAATCCCAGAGGGAAATTACTTTTTTTTACAAGCTCCAGAACATTTATATATATATATATATATATATATATATATATATATATATATATATATATATATATATATATATATATATACATACAACAAACCACACAAGATAATATAAATATAAATATATATGCATATAACTCTTCTTTCTCTCTCTATATATATAAATGTATAGTTATGCATATGTATAACTGTGTATATATGTATAACATATCCAAACATGGGGCTGTGATGTAGAAATATTTCAGGCTACGCTGGCATTCACTGTTTTACCCAATAGGAGATTTCATTCAGGTGATTTGCAGTTGATTTCTCAGTCGTGTATCTCTGACTGTGACTAACTGGATGTGCTCTTTTCATCCTCTGACATGGGAGCTGGCTCAGAGCTTGTCTGCCTGGCTGTTCCTTTCCTGGATGGGGCCGCCTGTGGAGCTGGTTTATAGCTGCTTTTTGTATCTCTGCTTCTTTCATCTTGAACCCCAGTCGGCCTCAGCAGATGGTCGCTCACACTGAGCGTGGTTCTGCTGGAGGTTTCTTCCTGTTAAAAGGGAATTTTTCCTCTGCACTGTCGCTACAAGCATGCTTAGTTTGAGGGATTCCTTCCAGTCAATGAGTCGATGAAATCAACTGTTTTTTCTTAGATAGAAAACTTTGAATCAATTTGACTGTATCTAGTGAATTGTAAAGTGCCTTAGGATGACAGGCATTGAGAATTGGTGCTATAGAAATAAACTGAATTGAATTTCATTTCATTTCATTTAGTTTATTTCATTTTAGTGCTGCCGTGCATAGGTTGAGTTTCAACCCAAATAGACTAAAATAGTTGCAGTCTATATATTGCAGAATCAAAATTTTTACCATAACTTCTTTTTTCTCCAGGTTTTTATTGTCATTACACTGTCACAGTACAGAGCAACAAAATTAGCCCTCTGCATTTTGCCCATCCCCTTGGGGAGCAGTGGGCTGCCACTGTCTGTGGGAGTGGGGCTCGAACTCAGAACTTCCAAGCTCTATGCCCTAACTACTATGCCAACACTGCCCTCAGAATGTAAAGCCCTATATTGTCGCACAACGCGGGAAATGCATTTAACCCATCCCCTGGGGGGGCAGTGGGCTGCCATTGTGTGGCGCCTGGGGAGCAGAGTGGAGCTTTCTGGGGATCAAACCGGGTACGTGCAACCTTCTCACAGCAAAAGCGTGCTGCTCTAGCCACTAACATAAAGACGGCACCCATAAGGCCCTATTCATGCTGTTTCAATGTATCTATTTTAACTTCAAGAATAATAAATAATTAAAAAATATATTTTTTTATTGATTTTGGTGTAGTTGATTTAGCTAAGTTGCTGTCTACTGGTACTTCATCAGCTAAAAAGCAAAAAAAAAAAAAAAAAAATCAAAAGATTCTAGTAACTTTCTTTTTTTCCTGATTGCCTCTTAAAGATTTGCCTCATCATTTTTCCACAACTTTTACAGCTATCCAGTAAACATTTTAGGAACCAAAGATTTTTTTTTCTCTTTTGTTAGCATTTTGTTTTAGATTTAGGTTTGAAGAGAAAGACAGGATCCATCTGTATGTGTGGAGCTCATTGGCTGCCTAAAGGCAAAATGAAAATAAGGGGTTGTTAAAATATGTTCCCACAGTTTAATAAACCATGCAAACAAATTTGCTCGAAGCCATAGTTCTGTTAGAGAAAAAAATAATAGATCATAACTTGGGTGCAGTTCAGCTAGAAACTTGGACAAATTTGTGCCTCAGGTCTCTGTAATTTAGATGGAAAATGTAGCAAAACTGATGTAAACTTTTTTTTCCTAAACAGGAGAAAAGAAGCTTATTTTCTTTAATGTTTTTTTCTCATGTAAAACAGTAGTCAGAGTTGATGCTTGATGGCTTCCTAGGAAATTCTAACAAAAGAAGAAAAGAAATCAAAACACGCTTGGCAGGTTAGGTTGTCAGTTATGCATTATTATCAGAAGTGGTAGCAGCAGCAACGCTATTAATGATATTATCTTTTATGGGGTTTTGTTTTTCTTTGTGGGACTGTCTAAACTAAAACTGCAGGCAGACCCTATTGGCTCAGTCGGTGCTGTTTATTCTGTTAGATCTGCTGCTCGAACATCAACATGTAGTCTAAACAGAGGGGGGGAAAAACTATTTCCTAAACTTACATGAATGTTTTGAATGAATATTATGAACAAAAACAGAGTTTCTTTAGTCTTAAAAGTGGGCCTTTTTTGAAACAGTGAAACAGGGAGTGACTCTGTATGTAACAACAATGTCTTTCTCTGCAAAAAATAAAAACATTTTGAATGTTTTCTCTTTATGTGCATCTTGCTGTGTTTTTTTTTGCTGTGATTTAACCTTAAAAGGTCAGTTGAATGCAGGATCATAGTGGTCCCTGGAGAAGTGGATATACTTGCGCTCTTTTTTAATGCAGCCCAGAAACAATGACATGTAAGACCGCTCAAAAATTTCTTTGCAGTATTTACTCATGTCATATAATTTTGACCTCAGGGAGGAAGGATTATGAAATAACTAAATACTGGCCCACAGACTAGTGAGAGACAATTATGGATTTTGAGGGAACTATTCCTTTATTCTGAATCCATCTACATACATGACATCTATTCTGTCACTTAGCAAGTCAGTAGTTCCTTTTGTAAACTGTCTCTTTGAACAGCTGATTTGCAACAGTTTGTGTGGGCCGCTATTAACATCAACATAACTTAATCAGGAGCAGTTTGTTGGTATTACTGGTCATACAGTCAGCCCGCATGAATATAAAATACATGGCAAATAAGGCAAACATGGCATTTCAGTTATTTTTTTATTATCATTTATTTAAATAAAACATATTAGATTTGAATTTTACATCCTTGTTCATATTTCAACTTAGAGTTAGAAAGGAAAATCAAATGCATCTCCAGCTGTCTACTGGCGAGAGGTACACCCTGGACAGGTCACCAGTCCATCACAGAGATCAAACAGTACAAACACCCATTCACGCACACACTCACACCTAAGGAGAATTTAGAGAAGCCAATTAACCTTACAGTCATGTTTTTGGATTATGGGAGCAAGCAGGAGTACCCGGAAAGAACCCACGCTGCAAAAAATTGAAATCTTAATAAGTCATTTTTTCTTAAAATAAGTGCATTTTGTCTTGAATTAAGGAGGTAAGTGAGACCCTTTGCCAATGGAACAACACAATTTACATTTAAAATAAGAAAAATAATTCTTATTTTAAATGTTTTTTCAAGTGCATATTTTCTAATTATAATCTAATCAGTAAAAATACTGATTCCATTGGCAAATCATCTTATTTACCTACTGAAATGAAGGGTAAATACACTTAATTTAAGAAATTTTTACTTATTTCAAGATCGTTTTTGCAGTGCACACGTGCACGGGAGAACATGCAAACTCCATGCCAGGAATCGAGCCGGGAACCTTCTTGCTGCAAGGCAGCAGTGCTACCCAGTGCACCACTGAGAACCCCTGATAAATAACATAATAAAGTAAATAACACAAAAGCAGACATATTTAAATCATATGAACAATAACTTATCACGCTTATCTTTGTTCTCCAAAGAGAAGTTTGTCTCAGTGTCTCTTCTTCATCAATGTGGTGCAGTCGGTTGGTCAGCTAGTTGACCGATCGGTAATGTTTTCATAGGTACCTACTGGAGAGCTTTTGCTGTTTTCTATTTTTGTGCAATGTGTTTTTTTTAGTTTTTTTATGGTCGTTTTCCTGAAGGCGGCAGTCCTATTTTGACCACTTTCATTTATGTGTGTCTGACGTGTAGATTGGATTTTGTGAAGCTTTCCAAAGCTAGCCTGGGTGCCATTCCGAACTTAGTCCCGCCCACAAGGTTTGAGGTCGGGAAGTTCGGTCTGGCTCTGCTCCATAGTAGTGCGAGTATGATCGCCCACCCTCTGGCGATCCAATCAAATTGTCAGGGCGGGCTTTATACGATGATGGACAGATGATGAACAGTAACGTAATCAACCACGTGACCAAAGCGTGCTTGGGCAACAACAACAATGGCTGCCGCTGGAGAGTTAAGGTGAGTAGATTCTGCTATTAGGGCTGTTCTAGAAGATATCGACAGCAAATTCATTTTAAAAGAGGAACAGAGAAACGCGATCTCGGCTCATCTTCTTATTCTAGGCGTGAAACTGCACGCTTTGATTTTTGTTGACAACAACTGTGCCTGGCTTAACATACGTCACGCACTCCGTTGCTCTTATTGGTTGTAGGTCTATCCAATTGAGTGCAGAGGCATTTTTTTCCTGGTTCGTTCGAAACACGCCCCATAATCACAGCTCTATGGAGCAGTATCAGACTCATATTCTGACTAGAATTGAGTAGGACTACGTCAGGCTAGGCCAAAGCACCTTTCCTGCTCTGGATAGTGTTCTTACTGATGACCCTGTGAATGCTGAACGTAGTGGAGCTAGAAACAAGTGGTGGGAGCTATGATCTAAGACATTCAGATTCTAACTTTTGTGTGGAAAATGTGGTCCGGAGCAAAGAATCTGAAGTCAGCAGCTCTGTTTGAAATTTTGCTGCACAACTAACTATTTTATCCCTGTGAGTTCAATTCAGCTTTTTTTAGAATTTCAATTGCTTTATGGGGCCTCAAATCCTAATGTTGTTTTACTGTTCTTGTGTTCATGTTGCCTTAGGGTGTTTGTGTGTGGGTGTGTGTATATTTTGTAACTCACCCCAGTCATTTGGACGTGATGGGATGGGGCGGGGCTGGCTGGCAATTTGATCTCTGTAAATTTTATGGCAAATCCAACTGATGACATATTTATCCACTTTTTCCACTCTCTTCTCTTTTTTTCTGCCATACACAAAAAAACGGCAAATACGAGAGGCCAGCAGAGTGAATCTCACAGCACCGAACAGGATTTTGTTTATACTTACCTTCCCAATGATGTGTTTGTTTTAGGAGTGAAAGTTCAGAGATTTGTCATCAAGCTGGGCTTTTCTCAAAGCCTCCTCACGTCATGGGTCTGATTGCACTGAGGAATACAGTGTGCGTCCGTCAAAATGAAAGCATTATTCTAACAGTCGGTAGCGTGTGGAGCGGCAAATGCCTTTCTAGAGTAGGAGGTGAGCGATGAGAGCGAATGAGTGCAAACTACCCCCCAACCCCCACCCCACCCCACCCCAGAGGCAGAGGAAACCAGTCCTGCAACTTTTTCAGGTTAGCCCACTGTGTGAGGTGTTCGAGAGTCAGATTTGTTTTTTCAGACATGTTTTCCTGCTTCGTTAAAGACTAACATCATATCAGAAAAGCAAAAAGCAAACAACGAGCAGTGCTGCAGTTCCTAATTTCTCTTCTAAATTTTTATTTTTTATTTTCATTACACTGTCACAAGAAATTCTCTGCATTTAACCCATCTGCTTGGGGAGCAGTGGGCTGCCATTTGCGGCGCCTGGGGAGCAGTGTGGGGTTAAAGGCTGATTTAAACTCCGGTGCACCTCTCCAAAATTGTAGGTGACTGCAGACAGTGCCAAAAACAGGAGGCCTTGTTTTGTTTGTATGACCGCCATTGTGGAAAATGACTCTTGAAGATTGACCAGGAAGAAGAGCGAGTTGTGAGAAAACATTTGGACCCTTTTTCCACCTGGATCCCTGCTCTTTTTTGACGTCATGTCCCTGCGTTGTCGCACAAACTTGCCCCCACTACTTCACCGCCCTGGCCGTATCTAGACACACAGCTAGTTGGTGATTGTCCCTCTTGGTTGTGGCGTGGAATAACATAGCGCAGACCACGCTTCAATATTGGGCATAAATCAAAAATAATCTGCAACAATCTGCTGTGGGAGTATAACCAGCCCTTAATGGTCTTGCTCAGAGAGCCAGAGGGTTTCAAACTCACAACCTTAGGATGCCAAGCCATATGCCCTAACCACTAGGCTGCCACTCCACTCCACATGTTACTTCTGATGTTTAATGCTCATGTTACTCCTCTAGAGTGTATTCGCAGTGGCAATTCTAGATAAGCCCAATAAGGTTACAAAATTAGACCCTCTAGTACGGTATCACAACCCATCAGTTTTTCTTTCACCTACAGTTATCTTAGCCATATTTTGGAAGTAGTTTTCTTTAAAAGGCACGCAGACATGTCAGGTCACAAATCTGGGGGGAAAATATTATGATTTCATATTATTCAATATCCATGAAGCGAAACAAGTTTGGTTCCACCAAGAACCTTCAAAACTAGTCAAGCAATACTGAGTTTTTTCAGAGGGGACCAAATGTCCAGCTGCCTGAGAAAACTAGAGTTCACTTGTTAGGATGGGAGACAGTTGAGAAGGTCAACTGCGATATACTTGTCATATCTTTAAGGATGAATGGCCAAACAGATGGCAGTCCTCACTTAAAGGCATCTCAAATTTACCAGAATTTTAAAAAAGAACTTCCTTTTTAGGCAACAATAATCACCTTTAAATAATTTCTACAGTGAAGCATGGGGGTGGCAGTATCATTTAATGATATTTCTTTTGGTCTGCATGGAGCATAAAAAGACTCCAGGTCAATAGAGACTCTTGCTTCAAAAATAAGACAAGGATTCATCTTCCAAAATGACCCAAAGTGCTTAGCCAAGAGAAAATAAAAACAGCTTGGAGACAGTCCATGTTTCCTGGCTCAGCAAAAATCTAGGCTTAAATCCAAACGAGAATCACTGCAAATGACGAACCATAAAAGAATCCTTAGAAGAGACTGGTAAGAAAAAAAGGTATAAAAAAACAGGTGGGCCAAAAGATACAGAAGAGTCACAGCCAAAAGAGTCAAACAAATTAAACCATGGGTGTGAATACCCATAAAATATTGAATTAACAAACCTTTGGCAGTAAAATTATTATCTTTTTGCTTTAAACTTCTTTAGTTCTATAGGTCTGATGAAAGGAAAATCTTGCACCTATTCTAAAATAAATCTGCAACTTAAAAAGATATAGAAAATGTAAAAAAGGCGGCAAGACCGACAGTATTTTTCAGATTACATACAAGTTCGACAAGTAGAGGTGTAACGCAGTTATTGTTTTAAAATGCAAACCAACCGACAACAGTTTTCATTACCTCAGGGTATTGGTTACGCTTTGGAAAGGATTCCTAAAAAACAAATTATAACAGGTATGGGAGGTGTTGTTGTTGCGCAACTGTTTTTGTGCTTTTAAATGCAGGTACCTTGAGAACTGCAGGCAACTCTCTTAACAACCATTTCTTTAAAAAAAATCCTTGAGAATTTTGTGTCTACAACTAACTAATGACTTAACTGACAGAACAGAATGTTTTAGAGGTTTTAAAGTCTGTTTGGTAATCTTTTCACAGCAAAGACAAAGGATCTGCTCTTCTGGTTCTCTCTTATGTGGGGTCCTGTGGGACACAGTTTTATGTCCCTGTCACATGCTTGTCAGGAGGCCAAGCAGTCTTGGAGGTGGGACCCAAGCTGGTTGAAAGAAGAACATGCTTTGTAGAGTTTTCAGCAGACAAAATTTTTATTTCTTCTTGTGCAGGACATCAACCAAACCACACCAACCAAGAACAATGGCAGACATGTTTCTTAAATAGAGGAGGAACTAAATTGGAAGAAACCATTTTTAAAAGGCTGTTCAGCTTCACAATAAGAAGAAAGGGAAATTTTGGTTTAAACAAACAACTACTTAAGAAATACTTTTACCAATAAATACAGAAACAAATATTTTAATTCAATCCAAACAAATACTCAAACTCAATAAAGAAAATACCATATATCAGATCAACCTCCCCCCTCTTCAATTATCTAATGGTACAGTCCTGTACACACCTGCTTGGAGAATGAAACAGCAGAGGTGAGTATTTCAAAATATTTTAAATCTTTAAGCCATGAATGTCCCTTTTATAAATGAACAAAAAAAATATATTGTAAAGTGAAATCAATGTACCTTTTTACAAAAATAAAAACAAGATGTGGCCAACCAAAGAACCACAACCCAAACAAATCCACTTCACCCAAAACAACAAAAATAAACCAACGTAGAAAACCAGATCCTGTGTTTAGCTGCTACTATGGCCAATATACAATTAACAATGGCTCATTGTTACAGTCCCCTTTGCTATTCTCCCTCTTGATTATAAAATATCTAGTCTCCTTTTGTGGTTATGCAGATAATAGACAGATTTATTGTTGTTACACTGTTAGACAGGAGAGGAAATTGAAAAATTATTGCTGAATGTTTAATATTATCATTAACACTTTGGACCACATTCTCCTCTTTACTGATTGCTTAAAGTTTTGTGTTCAACATCATCTGGCTGAATCTGGGATGCTTCTAGGACTGTGGCAGCTTTGAAGTCTTTGAAATCTCTGAAGCCCAAACAATATGATGTTGACTAAAACTGAGCTTATGGGAGTAATACTTCTGTTTTTTTACACTAGACTAGAGTAGGGTTGAGCTCGGTCACAGTCCACATGTGGGGTGTGTATGTAAATATAAGCTAAGTTGTTGCATACCATCAACAACATATTAATCCTGCATCAGATTCTGTTGACAAAATTATTTTTCATATCAAACGAACACTGGGGGATCCTGCTGTGCTGCATTCTGTGCACACCTGCAACCTCATGGCTCAGCAGCTGGTTAAAGTGGGTAATGCCTCCTTTGCCCGATACCAGTGGGTAGAACAAGGAAAGTGGG